CACATGGCTTACGACGAGTAAAAAAAGATCATCACGATTGAGATAGGGTGGGTGGGCGGGGCTGATATTTTGTCTTTTTTTATAATATACATGTTTTAAGTTTTTGTTGTGAAAAAATGACAACGTATACTAAGAAAAACAGGCAAAATATAAGCCCCGCCCACCCACCCTGTCTCAATTGTGACGAATTTTTTTATTCGTCGTGAGCCAAGAGGGCGGAGCTTAATTGCAAAACCCTTATTTCTCGACAAAAAAAAATATCACGTAATATATATTTTTGAGCATCATGTTGTTCAAAGAATACTAACTATATTAAGTAAAAATTAAAGCCAGATTGAGATCGAGACGAATGGGCAGGATTTATGTATTTTTTTTCTCTGTACTTACTATATATAGTCTGCTGGTAGAAAAATAAGGATATTGCAATTAAGCTCCGCCCCACGGCTTACGACGACTAAAAAAAATCATCACGATTGAGATAGGGTGGGTGGGCGGGGCTGATATTTTTTCTTTTTTTTATAATATATATGTTTTAAGTTTTTGTTGTGAAAAGATGACTACGTATTATTAAGAAAAAAAGGCAAAATATAAACACCGCCCACCCACCCTATCGCAATCGTGACGAATTTTTTATTCGTCGTGAGCCAAGAGGGTGGAGCTTAATTGCAAAAACCCTTATTTCTCGACAAAAAAATGATTGCGTAAGATATATTTTTGAGCATCATGTTGTTCAAAGAATACTAACTATATTAAGTAAAAATTAAAGCCAGATTGAGATCGAAACGAATGGGCAGGATTTATGTTTTGGTTTTCTTTTGCACTTACTATATAATAATAATAATAATAATTTATTACAGCCCAACGAGCAAGCTCATATAGGGCAAAATAGTACATAATAACATTTGAATAATTTCACAATACACAAAAAAAAAAAACATACAAGTTATTAGTAAGTAGACGTTCATGCTAATTGTGGTGTATAATTGTAACATAGATTTTTACACGTACAACAAAAAAAAACGAAAGTTTTCAACAAATACGTCCAAGTGCGCAGCATTAACGTTATATAACCTAGTCATATTTAGTATAGGGGAATGCAAGTGTTGATTGGTACGTGATACCTGATTAGAAAATACAAGTGGTTGACGATTATTAAGTCTAGGTACACAAAAGTTAATCTGAGAAAGAAGGTTACTGTCCTGAATAATGCCATGTAATAATTTATATAAAAAGGTTAAAGAGAAGTACTTCCGTCGATCTACAAGGGGTATTAAATCGAATTCAGGACTAGCAGTAGTTTCTGTGGGTAATTACGGACTGGATATATCCCATGTTTCCTAAAGTATACGTACTTACAAAATCTTCTTTGGATATTTTCTAATGCGGAAATATGTATATTATAATATGGATCCCATACTAACGTACAGTACTCCAAAATAGAGCGAACATAAGCGAAGTACAATAAAAACATGCAATCCGTATTTTTGAAATCTTTTGTAGTGCGTATGACAAAACCTAACATCTTCAGAGCTTTACAGTTAATATTATTAATGTGAGGTACGAACGACAGTCTAGAGTCCATAATGATACCTAAATCTCTAAATTCAGTACATCTCTTAATCTCTACTCCTCCAATATTATAATTATATTCTATAACATTAGTTTTCCTGTTATATGACACAATACAGCACTTGTTAATATTTATGTCTAACTTGTGTATTTGACACCAACGAATTATTGCATCAAGAACTTTCTGCAACTTTTCACAATCCTGGAGATTATGAATTATTTTTGCTAATTTAATGTCATCTGCATACAAAAAAATACGACAATCAAAGTTTAGACATTTTACCACATCATTAATATAAATAATGAATAATAAAGGTCCTAAATTGGATCCTTGACAAACACCAGAATGGCATTCATACACTGGTGACCTATAACCTGAATATTCAACATATTGCTTTTGGCCACTTAATATCGATTTAAAAAGATTAGCTAAACTATCGCATAATCCGAAATTATGTAACTTTTTCAATAGAATTGGGTGGTTTACAACATCAAAAGCTTTGGATAGGTCCATGTATACTGTATCTACCTGTTGTGTGCAGTTTAAAGAATCTGAGACAAATTGTGTAAAATTGCATAAATTCGTACATGTTGATTTACCTCGTACAAAACCGTGTTGGTGATCGGTTAACTGCTGTAATATATGACTATAAACGTTATCAAACAATATGATTTGAAATAACTTTGCAAAGTTTGGAATAATTGCAACAGGTCTGTAGTTTGTTATCTCAAATTTAGAGCCGGATTTGAAGATAGGACATACCCTTGCAATCTTCCAACTTTCTGGGAAGACCTCCGTTTTTAAAATTAAGTTATAAAGATGTTGGAGGGGCGTGATAAGACAAGATATACAATCACGAATAAAAAAAGCCGGAATAGAATCAGCACCCATTGTAAAATTTGCTTTGATTTTCCGCACACATTTAGAAATATCCTTTTCATTTATAACAAAATTGTGTAAAACAGGTACATTTAAATTATTATCACAGATGTTATCACAGTCACATTTCGTATCACATTTCTTATTATCAAACTATATATAGTTTGATGGTAGAAAAATAAGGATTTTGCAATTAAGCTCCGCCCCACGGCTTACGACGAGTAAAAAAAATCATCACAATTGAGATAGGGTGGGTGGGCGGGGCTGATATTTTGTCTGTTTTTATAATATACATGTTTTAAGTTTTTGTTGTGAAAAGATGACTACGTATACTAAGAAAAAAAGACAAAATATAAGCCCCGCCCACCCACCCTATCTCAGTTGTAACGAATTTTTTTATTCGTCGTGAGCCAAGAGGGTAGAGCTCAATTACAAAACCCTTATTTTTCGACAAAAAAATTATCACGTTAGGTATATTTTTGAGCATCATGTTGTTCAAAGAATACTAACTATATTAAGTAAAAATTAAAGCCAAATTGAGATCGAAACGTTACTATGTATAGTTTGCTTGTAGAAAAATAAGGATGTTGCAATTAAGCTCCGCCCCACTGTTTACGACGAGCATAAAAAAATCATCACGATTGAGATAGGGTGGGTGGGCGGGGCAGATATTTTGTCTTTCTTTTGTAATATACATGTTTTAAGTTTTTGTTATGAAAATATGACTACATATATTAAGAACAAATAGGCAAAATATAAGCCCCGCCCACCCGCCCTGTCTCAGTTGTGACGAATTTTTTTATTCGTCTTGAGCCAAGAGGGCGGAGCTTAATTGCAAAACCCTTATTTCTCTACAAGAAATTACCAAGGAAGATATATTTTTGAGTAACGTGTTCGAGGAATACCAAGTATATTAAGTAAAGATTAAAGCCAGATTTTAATGGAGGCGAATGTGTAGAGCTTATCTTTTTTTTATTTAATATATATAGTTTGCTTTCAACAACACGATTACTCAAAAAAATGTTTCATACAGCAATTTTTTGTATAAAAATAAGAATTTTGCAATTAAGATCCACCCCACGGCTTACGACGAGCAGAAAAAAAGCCATCACAATTACGATAGGGTGGGTGGGCGGGGCGGATATTTTTTCTTTTTTTGTTAATATACGTAGTCATCTTTTTACTACAAGAAACTTAAAACATATATAAAATGGTAAAGTTTTCTAGCGAAACGTGGATTTTACAATTACACTCCGTCTCTCGGCTAATGAAAAGTTTATCACTATTAAGGTGGGGGCAGGTATGGGTGGAGCTTAATCTCGTGATGAATTTGTTATTCGTTGCCAAACCGAGGGGACAAACGTAACTGCAAAATCCGTATTTCCCCATAAAAATTTACCATCTTAAACATGTTTTAAGTTTTTTTGTGAAAAGATGAATACGTATCTTAAGAAAAAAAAGCAAACTATAAGCCCCGCCCACCCACCCTGTCTCAATTCTGATGATTTTTTTATTCGTCGTGAGCCAAGAAGGAGGAGCTAAATTGCAAAATTCGTATTTTTCAACAAGAAATTACCATTTAAGACATGTTTTTAATTATCATGTTGTTCCAAGAATGCTATGTGTGTATATGTATATTAACTAAAAATTATTTATTTTCCTTATTTTTCACGAATAAGGTTTACATTTTGTATATTTCTTTATGTGTCTTTAATGTTATATAAAATAGCCTGTAATCTGATTATGCTTAATTTTCACGACAATTATGTCTGAAATTTAAGTAATTTAGAGGTGGACCTACCTTGTGCTTTGAAAACAAGATAATATAATGCGTTTGTAGAAACAAGGGATGAGGCAATAAAGCGCGCCTATATTTCCTTTGTAAATAATAATAATAATAATTTTAAATAAAGAAGTACTTATTCTAAGACATTAAGCACCCAATGATTTATTGCCCAACTAAACCCCAGCCTTAACTCCTTCAACCGCGAGCTGATAACACCACATGCGTCGATCCTCGTTGACCGCTTTCCGCGTACAGACAACTTGTCTCAATTCAACAACAGATGTTATCTATTGACATGTCATCTTTCCAACCATTCGGAATGACGTTGACACAAACATCAGCTCTTACGGGTCACCAACCACGAGATAAACGCACAGATCAAGGGCGGCCACGCTGATTCTCACCTCGGCCGGCCAGACAAGAAATTGATTAAAACCGAAAAAAGCCCGACGCAAATTACCGCTTTCGACCCTAAGAGCCGAGCCGGCCCTCAACCCTCGTCACTCTTGATGCGTCCTATTAAAATAACGGCATAATTTCGTTAATTTCCGTTATTATAACGACATTATCAGCGAGGTATAATCGGATTGCATGCTTAGTCAACCCCATCAAAAGATCAGACCGTTTCGACCCCGAGCGTCACCCTTCAGGGCAGCGATTTGTTGTCGCCGAAATTGGGGTCATTCACTTGGAAGGTTCGCTTTATCGCGAAGTGTTAGACGCACGTGGCAAGATTAAACTAATTAAAAAATGGGTTGTTTCCAGGTGGTTTCATGGGCGACATCGCCATCCCCATCAAGGGTAAATCCAAAGACGCGTTTCTGCAAGAGGAAGTCGAAAAGTACAAACAAGAGGTGTTGGAAGGTCTCCAGATTGAAGAAGAGGGATTGACTGACTTAATCCGGAAAAAAACCAAGCAGCCAGCAGTGCTGCCAACCCCGCGTAGCTACAATGACCCTTTCGACGACATACCAGGAGTCGGGAGCTCGATCCACAAGAACGGCCAAATCCTGAAAACGAACAGCGATCTGCACGCGAACAAAACAACGAATGACACACAAACCGGGAACACGAAGGTGAGGCACAACAAACGCCACGTGACTGGGAAACGAAGAACCGTGAAGAAGAGGAACAGGAGACGAGAGAGTGAAGAACGCCCAGTTCACGACTTCGAGCCGAATTTTGACATGAAGAGGAAACGTCCTGTGTTGAATGAAGAATACCACAGGAGAGTGACAAGGGCTGCTACCGCAAGAAAAGAACGCGTTTGGGACTACGGGGTGATCCCTTACGAGATCGATGGTAATTTTAGCGGGGGCCACAAAGCCCTATTCAAACAGGCCATGCGCCACTGGGAGAACTTCACCTGTGTCAAGTTCGTGGAAAGGAACCGGGATGAACATCCCAACTATATAGTCTTCACGGAACGACCCTGCGGGTAGTGAAGTCCCGACCCGACTCCGCAATCTGTCTATTTTTACTCATTCCAGGTGCTGTTCCTTCGTCGGGAAGCGCGGAAACGGAGGTCAGGCCATCAGTATTGGGAAAAACTGCGACAAATTCGGGATCGTGGTCCACGAACTAGGTCACGTGGTCGGGTTCTGGCACGAGCACACCCGGCCCGATCGGGACAAACACGTCAACATCATCAGGGAGAACATCATGAGTGGTAAGCATCGCAACTGCTCTGCTCTGGGTTCGTATTGCTACCTGTTTCTAGGTCAGGAGTACAACTTCAACAAGCTGAACGACGAAGAAGTTAACTCGTTGGGACTTATCTACGATTACGACTCCATAATGCACTACGCCAGGAACACGTTCTCGAAGGGAACGTATTTGGATACTATTCAGCCAATTGACGTCCCAAATAGGAAGCGGCCTGAGATCGGACAAAGAGTTCGACTGAGCGAAGGCGATATAGCACAAACGAATCTTCTTTATAAGTGTATTAGTAAGTAGAACAGAGGGGACAATCAATTCAGTTTTATTAGATTATAAGCGTTACGTATGCATAAATGCAATGTCGTTTTGATTGTAGTATGGGCTAAATAAAAACTACAACGGGATCAGTGGAACAAATGCCAGGTGCTGTAGTAAGCGATAAATGCACTGATAAAACTATTGCGTCGCGCTTTTACGACGTAATTTCGCCATTTTGTGTATTATAGCGTGGGAAATTACTTCCATTTTGGTAATTTTATTTTTGTCATGTTTGTCACTAAAATGAACACCATATTTAATAAAAAGCATGTTTTGGACACTCACTTCGGGTTTTGTTGAAAAGCGGACTTCCGCCGCTAACTTGATTTATCGTACAGTTAGAATCTGATGACATTTTTTTTCATTCTCTGGTGTCCTGCTCTATTTTTTTTACTTCTATCATTTAAAAAATTGTTCTTTCTTTGTCCAAATAACCAAACTATAAAAAAATGAAAGAAATTTGTATTATGGGACTGCAGGTTGTAGAAAATATTTAAAACGTGCCAAAGAAACACAAAAAGAAACAACAATGAAGAAATAGAAAAGAGACGTAAGAAGAAATATAGAAGAATCACCGAAAACACTATCAAATGAGATTTTTGATAATATCTTGAAAAACATGGAGACGATTGCTAGAGATCTACTTGACAACAGAAGTGTGAATATATAATAAATATAAGTAAAAGGATACGAAGAAAAAGAAAGAAGAAGAAATTTAAATAAGCAGACTGAAGCTTGGTTTAAAAGAGTAGGAAATAGACAAAACTGGATTTAAAAATAATGAAAAACATGTTGAAGAATTTCTGTAAAAATTGTGTCCACATAGATGAAGATCGAAAGTGAAAAGAACGTGAAATAACAATTAGAAATATTGAAAGTATTCGTAGAACAAAGGAAAAAGCGAAACAATAACTGGAAAAATTAAAGGACTAAGAAATAAAAATAGGATGAAAGGGGAAGGTGAAATTGTAGAAAATATTTAAAATTTGGTAAAGAAACACAAAAATAAACAACAATGAAGAAATAGAAAAGAGACGTAAGAAGAAATATGAAGAAGGGCCCAAAATACTATCAAATGAGGTTTTTGATAAAATGTTAAAGAACTCGAAGACAATTGCCAGAGATCTGGTTGAAAGCAGAAGTGTGGATAATAAATGTACAAATCAAAATAAAAACAATAAGTAAAAGAAAACGATGAAAAAGAAAGCAAAAGAAATTGAGATGAGCAGACTGAACCTTGATTTAAAAGAGTAATAAAAACAGAAAACTGAAGTAAAAAAATAACGAAAAAGATGTTGAGGAACTGTGTCCACATCGATGAAGATCAAAAATGAAAAAAAGGTGAAATGACAAGGAGAAATTTCTAAGGTATCAGCAAAACAAAAAAAGAAGCAAAGCATTAAATGGAATAATTAAAGGATTTTTTTCTTCAGAGCAAAGAGAGGCAAAAATAAAATTGGGATGAGAAAAAGTTGTAAAACAGAAAGGAAAGTGAGAAAGAGAAAGGTGAAGTTGTAGAAAATATTTAAAAGAGGTCAAAGAATCGAGAGTAAAACAACAATGAAGAAATAGAAAAGAAACATAAGAAGAAATGTGAAGAGAACGTGAAATAACAAGGAAAAATATAGAGGTATCAGTAGAACAAAGCAAGAAGCAAAATAATAACTATAACAATGGAACGAATTTTTTTCTTCAGAGCGGGGAGAAAAGGGAAGAAACAGGATGATTGGGAAGAGAAAAACCTATAAAAGAAAAAGAATCAATAGAAAAGAGACTTAAGACGAAATGTAAGAATCACCGAAAATACTCTGAAAGGGCACAAGAAAGTTAAAAAAAACGTAAAGTGGGAAAAAAGTAAGAACGGAAGATAGGAATACTGTAGAGAGGGAAGAAAAACTTAACATAGAGGAAGAGTCGAAAAGAAGAAAGTATGAGGAAGCAAAAACAAGAGGTAGTAACGTACAAGAAAAAGTCAAGAACGTTTAAAAATAAAATGGTGAAAAAGTGAAGAAAATTTAGGCTGGTTAGATATGAATATGAATTTTAAACAAACCGATAAGCGAATAAAATAATTTTGCAGGGAAAAGAGGACTAGTAAGAGAAGCAAACGAAGTGAAAAATCAATAGAAGAACTTAGAAGAATTCCAAATAATTACAAAAGAAAACGGAAATAAATTTTGCCTGTAAACTAAGAACACAATACGCTGAAACAATGCGCCGTGTAAGACAGGAATACAGGAAGCTGAAAGATAATATTTAACTTAACTTCACTATTCTTGCCTTATTTCCCTCAATGTTATTGTTATTCCCGTACTTTATTTACGTTTACTACAAAAAATGCCCTGAATAACTTTCCCGCTGACGTAACCTCTATTTAGTAATTAAAAACGGAAAAATTAAAGAGGATATACCAGATAAATGGAACATGCTGTATCAATCAATACTAATGTATGATTACGAATCATGGGTGTTGCCAGCAAGCATAAAAGCAAAATTCAATCAACTGAAATGACATTGCGAATTAAAATAATGCGGATATTTAGGGCAACATAGATAAGATCTAAAAGTTGAATCGGTCAAGGTAAATGACAAAACACGAAAAATAAATTCACGCAATTTTTACTTTTTTACAATTTCAAACTTCGTTTCTTTTTCTAGAGTGCGGCCGCACGTACCAAGCCAACTCCGCCACCTTCTCCTCCCCCTCCTACCTCAACCACAACGCCCCCGAAGACGGCGAAAAGTGCGAATGGCGCATCACAGCAACCCACGGCGAAAAAATAGTCTTGAACATCACCGACCTCGACATCGAAAAGTCCCCAGATTGTAGTACCGACTACATCGAGATCCGCGACGGCTACTGGTACAAATCGCCCCTCCTCGGCAAGTTCTGCGGCACCGGCAAACTCGACTCCATCACCTCCACCGGAAGCCGGATGCTCATTTCTTACGTCGCCAAGAACCCCAACGGCCACCGAGGCTTCACCGCCAACTACGAAGCCATCTGTGGCGGCGAGCTCTTCATAGACAGCGAAGGACACCTAGAGTCCCCGAATTACCCCGAAGAGTACCAACCCAACAAAGAGTGCGTCTGGAAGATTACAGTACCCGACAACTACCAAGTAGCGCTGAGGTTTCAGTCGTTCGAAGTGGAGAACCACGATGGGTGCGTGTACGACTACGTGGAGATTCGGGATGGGTTCGCGTCGGATAGTACCATCCTAGGGGTACATTGTGGGTACAAAGTACCCACTGATGTCATCTCCAGTTCGAACCATCTTCTAGTGAAGTTCGTGTCAGATGGGTCCGTACAAAAAGGGGGTTTTTCAGCTACTATTATGAAAGAGTACGACGAGTGTGCCATGTCGGACCATGGGTGTGCACAAGATTGTATAAACACGCTGGGTAATTACGAATGTACTTGTAAGATTGGGTTTGAGTTGCACTCGGATGGGAAAAATTGTGAAGGTACCACGACTGGGGGGTGCGAATTTGGTGATTAAGTTTGTGTTGTAGATGCTTGTGGAGGGTTATTGGATGCTCCGAATGGTACCATCACGTCACCGTCCTTTCCAGATTTGTACCCTTTGAATAAGAATTGTGTCTGGGAGATAGTGTCGTTGCCGCAGTACCGGATCACGTTGAATTTCACCCACTTTGACTTGGAAGGGAACAATATGCATCTGTCGCAGCAACAACAGTGCGACTACGATAGGTTGGAAATTTATAGTAAGCTCAGCGACGACAAAATGAAAAAGCATGGGGTCTTTTGTGGCTCCAAGCCTCCCGCACCTATCATCTCCGAAGGCAACGTCATGAGGATCATTTTTAGCTCCGATATTAGTGTGCAGAAGACTGGGTTTGCTGCTGTCTTCTTTACAGGTGACTACAATACTAATATTAATAGTAATAATAGTTAACACTATTTTGTCAGATATGGACGAATGTGCTATTAACAACGGCGATTGCCAACACGAGTGTGTGAACACCGTGGGTTCGTACAAGTGCACGTGTCACAATGGGTTCACCCTCCACGAAAACGGGCGCGATTGCAAAGAGGGTGACTGCAAGTACGAAATCTCGTCACCTTTTGGTAGCATCGGCAGCCCCAACTACCCCGATTATTACCCCAGTCGCAAAGACTGTGTGTGGCAATTCACGACCACCCCCGGCCACCGCATCCGCATTTCGTTCCTCTTCTTCGAAGTGGAACCCCACCAGGAGTGTTACTACGACCACGTGGACTTTTACGATGGTCCGTCGCCTGAAGCTCACACCCTGGGTAAATTCTGCGGTTCGAAACTACCACACCCCATTGTGTCCTCAGGGAACGAACTTTACATGACTTTCAAGTCCGACGCGTCGGTCCAAAGGAAGGGCTTCTGGGCCACCTATGCCGCTGTGTGTGGAGGCATCCTACAAGCTACGCCAAAAAAGAAACACATTTATTCGCATGCTCGGTTCGGGACTGAAAAGTATGATAATAAAGCGGACTGCGACTGGACGATTAAAGCGATTTCTGGGTACAACGTGAGGTTGTCGTTTTTGACTTTTGATTTGGAGGACGAGAAGGATTGTGGCTACGATTACGTGGAAATTTTCAGCGGGATGGACTCTAGCGGACCGTCGTATGGGAGATTCTGTGGTTCGACTGTAAGTATGGAGAGTGTGTTGGTTTGTGGTGACCCTGTGGTTTCAGAAACCCTTTGATATCTTCTCTCCTTTCGACGCCCTTTTGGTTCGGTTTCGGTCGGACGACACGTTCGTCAGTCAAGGTTTCAGTATAGTGTATGAAGCTGTGGAGGATACCTACAGCGAGGAGGACGAAGTGTAAGGATTCTGATGCAAGAAATTAAAGGATGATCTTGTTTCCACTACTCTCGGCAAGAGGGCGGTGGTGTTTCTGTCACAGTCGAATTGTGATGCAGCGAAACTCAACTCATATGGTTTGCTCAATAATTTAATTTCTTGGTACTAGACCGTTTCTAGTATTTATTAAACTGTTCGTACTTATACTAGTGAAATGTCTTCGTATACCTGATAGCGAGAATTTGTTCGTACGATTTTGCTGTATAACACTTATAATAAACAGATAGACTGCCGATTTAGATTTATGTCTCGATTATAGATATCATCTTTTTATCGATAGAGTTAAGGATAGGGTTGTAAGTTGTTAAAGAAATTCGACGTGCCATTTTAAGTTAGGTGATTCGATTTTCGATTAATTGCTGGAATTTGTACAGTTTTGTGGAATGACTAAGTGTTATGGACAAATATTAAAACATAGAATATGCATTGTGTGTCTTATTTCGAAACTTAGAGGAGTGCTCGCTTAGCCCGCATAACAATAATTTTTCAATAAATAAATATACAACTAGAATAAAATCACCCATTGTTCAATTCATTCAGTTGAAACTAAAATTCGAGCGTGTTTAGTTTCACAAAGCCGGGATATTTGGAAAAAAGGATGAAACCTGGAAAGTTTAACAGCGTCCTGTTACAATATCGCAGTGGGGTTTCGCTTTGTTTCCTTTTTGTCCGACTTTTACGCTATTGTTGCAAAAACTGTTTAACGTATTGTTTGAGTTTTTAGTTGAATTATTCCATAAGCTGATTATTCAATTACAGAAATCTCGTCAATAAAAATTAGCAAGTAAAATGCAACTTAAAATTCGTCATACAAAAAATGTTTACAAACTGATAGTTGAATACTTATTTGACTCTTTCTGTGCGAACCAAGTTTAAACCCCTTTCTCCCAAGAATAATCCCAGAGATTCGGATTATGACGTGGGTCAAAGCGATAAAGACGAAAGGATTAATGACGGGCCCTTTTATTGAATTCCGCAAATAAGTATGAGAACCTCGCTCATTAATAACCCACCGGTTTTATCTTTTATTCTTAAAATTTACGAGCGCCCTGGCAAACACACCATTCCTTCTAAATTACTTAATTTCAATAGCAGATAACGCAGGAATTCGGTCTGAGGAGATATAGAAACGGAACGAGGGAAAGTCGATGCCTTTGACAATGCGAAAGAAGCATAGAATGATTTATAATTAAAATAAACTGGAAAGTAAAATTCAAGTGAGTTTGAGAAATGTACTTAATGAGTGCTCTTTAACAGTCGTTACGCCGTCGTTTTAATAATGCACCCCTTTGTGACAGTATCTGTTATTATACCTATTTCTAAAGCAAGTTTAAACGCAATAAAGCTTCTGTTTGAACATTATCTAATAACGAAATTTCATAACTTGTCATCAAAGAGAGGGTTGAATAGATAACACGTGGTTTCCTCAAGCTATTTTAACCTCTAAGTAGTTTTATACGTAAATGTATAGACGGATAAATTACTTGTGAATTCAAAAGGGGCGATTTTACGTTTGTTTTAAATTAGATTGATAATTTCGTACCGTGATGTTTTAATTATGTAACGCACATCGCATTGTTGGCGTAGACGTTTTGTGGAAACTCGCTGGAGCATGTAAAGTGTTGTTAATATTGTTTAATACAGGTTTCTTGAATTCGAGCAATTATGTAGCTTATCATGAAACGAATTAATTCTGCAGGTTGTGTCACATTTTACCAATGGGAACCAACCCTTATTACATAATTTGCACACTCTTTTTGTTCATTTTGTTTGCTTCTTTCTTCTTGTTATCTATGCTCAGGTTTCTTATTAGCTTTTTACAACTTTCTGTTCTCTCTTTTTTTTATCTTTCTCAAACAGTCTGATCATATTGAGGAGCTTCGCACTAGAAGGATCACATCAGAGTGTGACGAAAATGGAGAAAATGGAACAAGATTAAAGAATAAAAAATTGGTCGAAAGCTATTTTGACAGAATTTCCCTCGCACCTAACGTACAGTGAAACATGTACAGCATTTTTGTAATACTAAAAATATCAGTATTGTATTTCCAAAATTTTCTGGGAAAATGGAGTGGGCCGCTCCTGATTTAATCAATAAAATAAATTGACACGTTCATTACTTTTTTGAACCACCTGTATAAGCAAATCTAAAAAATATGAATGCAATGATAATTCACAAGTAAAAAGTCAACATATTTTGCACATTTCGGGGAGATTTACTCGTTACTATGAAAATTTGCAATTCAACACAGTTTTTACAAGATTAATCGGGGCAAAACCAGTTTTATATTAACAAGTATTAATATACAATACCAATTTTCTCATAGAATGTCATTTGCCGAAATAAGACTTATGTAAGCCAGTACTAGCCCCGCCCACCCACCCTTTATTTTCTCAAAGGGTAATACCTGCTAGTACTTGCTGAGATAAGTCTTATTTTGACAAATGCCATATATCCTGAGAAATAGGGGCGGGTGGGCGGGGTTAGCAAGATTTTGGCAAACTTCTTAACCTCTGAGAAAATAGAGGACGAGATTTTTAATCGTTACTAGGGAGATTTGCAATTTAGTACCTTTAAATTTTACAAGTTTTTACAAGAATAATAGTGGCAAAATTAGTTTTATCTTAATAAGTACTAGGCCTGCCCACCCGCCCCGTATTTTCTCAAAGGATCTCATTTGCCAAAATAAGACTTATGTGAGCAAGTACTAGCCCCGCCCACCCACCCTATGTTTTCTTAGAGGATATGTCATCTGCCAAAATCAGTCATGTCTTACCAAGTACTAGCCCCACCCACCCGCTCTTTATTTTCTCAGAGGCTAAGACTTGCCAATACTTGCTAAGATAAATCTTATTTTGGCAGATGACATGTACTCTGAGCAAATAGGGGTGGGTGGGCGGGGCTAGTACTTACTCTGATAAGGTTAATTTTGGCAAAATCCTTACCCTCTGAGAAAATAGAGGACGAGATTTTTAATCGTTACTAGGGAAATTTGCAATTTAATACCTTTAAATTTTACAAGTTTTTACAAAATTAACAGGGACAAAATTAGTTTAATCTTAACAAGTAGTAGGCCTGCCCACCCGCCCCGTATTTTCTCAAAGGATCTCATTTGCCGAAATAAGACTTAAGTGATCAAGTACTAGCCCCGCCCACCCACCCTATGTTTTCTCATCTGCCAAAATCAGTCATATCTTACCAAGTACTAACCCCACCCACCCGCCCTTTATTTTCTCAGAGGGTAAGACTTGCTAGTACTTGCTAAGATAAATCTTATTTTGGCAGAAGTCATGTGCCCCGAGAAAATAGGGGTGGGTGGGCGGGGCTAGTACTTACTCTGATAAGATTAATTTTGGCAAAATCCTTACCCTCTGAGAAAATAGAGGACGAGATTTTTAATCGTTACTATGGAAATTTGCAATTTAATACCTTTAAATTTTACAAGTTTTTACAAGATTAATAGGGGCAAAATTAGTTTTATCTTAACAAGTACTAGGGGTACCCGCACCATATTTTTTCAAAGGATATGTCATTTGCCGAAATAGGACTTATGTGAGCAAGTACTAGCCCCGCCCACCCACCGTATGTTTTCTCAGAGGATATGCCATCTGCCAAAATCAGTCATATCTTACCAAGTACTAGCCCCACCCATCTGCCCTTTATTTTCTCAGCGGGTAAGACTTGCCAGTACTTGCTAAGATAAATCTTATTTTACCAGATGACATATACCCTGAGCAAATAGGGGTGGGTGGGCGGGGCTAGTACTTGTTCTGATGACACTAATTTTGGCAAACTTCTTACCCTCTGAGAAAATAGAAGACGGGATTTTTAATCGTTACTAAGGAAATTTTCAATGTAATACCTTTAAATTTCACCACTTCTTACAAGATTAGTAGGGGCAAAATTAGTTTTAACTTAACAAGTACTAGGGGTACCCACCCTATGTTTTCTTAGAAGATATGACATCTGCCAAAATCAGTCATATTTTACCAAGCACTAGCGTCACCCACCCGCTCTTTATTTTCTCAGAGGGTAAGACTTGCTAGTACTTGCTAAGATAAATCTTATTTTGGCAAATGACATATCCTCTGAGAAAATAGGGGCGGGTGGGCGGTGCTAGTTCTTGCTCTGATAAGACTGATTTTTTCATACTTCTTACCCTCTGAGAAAATAGAGAACGGGATTTTTAATCTTTACTAGGGAAATTTGCAATTTAATACCTTTAAATTTCTCAACTTTTTACAAAATTAATAGGGACAAAATTAGTTTTATCTTAACAAGTACTAGGTCTGCTCACACGCCCCGTATTTTCTCAAAGGATCTCATTTGCCGAAATAAGACTTATGTGAGCAAGTACTAGCCCCGCCCACCCACCCTATGTTTTCTCAGAGGATATGTCATCTGCCAAAATCAGTCATATCTTACCAAGTACTAGCCCCACCCACCCACTTTTTATTTTCTCAGAGGGTAAGACTTGCTAGAACTTGCTAAAATAAATCTTATTTTGGCAGATGACATGTGCCCTGAGAAAATAGGGGTGGGTGGGCGGGGCTAGTACTTACTTTGATAAGATTAATTTTGGAAAAATCCTTACCCTCTGAGAAAATAGAGAACGAGATTTTTAATCGTTACTAGGAAAATTTGCAATTTAATACCTTTAAATTTTACAAGTTTTTACAAGGTTAATAGGGGCAAAATCAGTTTTATCTTAACAAGTACTAGGGGTACCCGCACCATATTTTTTTAGAGGATATGTCATTTGGCGAAATAAGACTTATGTGAGCAAATACTAGCCCCACCCACCCACCCTATGTTTTCTCAGAGGATATGTCATCTGCCAAAATCAGTCATATCTTACTAAGTACTAGCCCCACCCATCCGCCCTTTATTTTCTCAGAAGGTAAGACTTGCTAGTACTTGCTAAGATAAATCTTATGTTGGCAGATGACATATACCCTGAGCAAATAGGGGTGGGTGGGCGTAGCTAGTACGTGTTCTGATGAGACTAATTTTGGCGAACTTCTTAACCTCTGAGAAAATAGAAGACGGGATTTTTAATCGTTACTAGGGAAATTTTCAATTTAATATCTTTAAATTTCACAACTTTTTACAAGATTAATAGGGGCAAAATTAGTTTTAACTTAACAAGTACTAGGGGTACCCGCCCCTTATTTTCTCAAAAGATCTCATTTGCCAAAATAAGACTTACGTGAGCAAGTACTAGCCCCGCCCACCCACCCTATGTTTTCTTAGGAGATATGTCATCTGCCAAAATCAGTCATATCTTACCAAGTACTAGCCCCACCCACCCGCCCTTTATTTTCTCAGAGGATACGACTTGCTAGTAGTACTTGCTGAGATAAATCTTATTTTGGCAGGTGACATATAACCCGAGCAAAGAGGAGTGGGTGGGCGGGGCTAAT